GCAGCCGGTCACACATCGAATTAATCCACTATTACACAAAAAGACCCTGAGCTTCATGGTGAGATCCAATTAAATGGACTCTGAAACTGAAATGAATTAAGAAAATAAACAGAGAATTCGGTGCTTTCATGCCACTTTCGATAAATAATGCAGTTTGTACATGGTGTGCAGCTCGTTAGCTCGAGATACAGTAATTAGAGAATTAGAAAAAAATGTTTTGTGCATTCGTACTACAGCAGTCAAAGAACAGATCTCTTTTCAAAATAAATGTTATTTCATAAGTGACTGATTCAAGCTGATTAGCATGCTCTTAACCGAAATAAATCACAAAAAATGTTGAATCAGTCCATTCAAATTAGGCTCTTGGGTGCAACATTTAGTTGTCACATTATCAGTGTTTTGTCAAGTAATTAAAAATTAAAAGGGCTGGAACTTGTTTTGCTGAAAACTGGCAAAAAATGTCTTCACGTCTTGAAGGAGCAAATGTTGAAAATTTTGATGTTCTTCTACTCCATCTCAGTCAACATCAGTGCCACAAGGAAACCTAAACCTTGAGTGATAGGCTTTGGAGTGCCTGACTGAATGCATGGTTTCTGCAGGTTTTACCAACTGAAATTTAAGACCTTTTTTTTTTTCTATACCAAAAAAAAGACCATTTTTAGATATTTCTTGTATATTTCTCCAAAAAAATGTACAAACTTTGTCCAGCCAGCTGGCAATACATTTGCACTTGCCCACTTACTTAAGCTAGCTGGATTTTTTGCATTTGTCAAGGTTAACTAACACAGCTAGATTGGCAAGTGTATGTTAGCAATGAGTCACAAAGATGTCTGCATGTGACTCAAACATGCTTGATAGAAAAGTCTGGCGAAAAAAAGATTACATACATTATATGATTAAGTAGACCTGCCAAGAGTACATTTAAGACCTGTAATTAACATATTTAAGGCCAAAATACTTTTTGCTATTCTTTTTAGATATTTTCAGGCATTAATTTTAGTTTCATGAATTTAAGAATTTTCTAGGATCTGCGGATAACCTGGAAAGGTGAATTACAAATTCAGGAAAAACAAAATGTCCTGAAATGTTCTGTTTCGGGGTGCAGACAGACAATCGCTTCCTGTCAAATTTTATGGTAAGAAATAAAAAAATTAAGCAATGCACCTAAAAAAAAGAAAAAAAAAGGCCATAACTGCTCTGTTTACAACAAACACACAGATAACCACAAAACACAATCTTCCTGTTGCTCACCACAAGAATGAAAGCTATGTTCCCCAGTCAGAGATGTAGGAAACCCTCCAACAAATATTTGGTCCACAAGGCTCCCGGGACGAGCATTCAGAGGACAATTACCAAGAGGCAAACCCGGATTTTCTGCAAACCCCACTAAAGCCTTTTTCCGAGCGCAGGTGAAGCAGTTATGCTGACAGAGACCTAACAGCTCCCGTCTCCGTCCATTTGCCAGTAAGTAAAAACAAGAACTGAACACTACAGGCCGACATGAACAAACAAGAGGAGAGCTCGTTTATCAGGAGCACACAGGGTGCTTTGAATGAGCGGAGGCTCGGGGTGCTGATGTACTTAAACTTTCACTGACCTGTACTTGTGACACTGAGGACTAATGATCATTTTACTTTAGCCAGAATACTTAAAAAAAAAAAAAAAAAAAAAAACAAGCAACAGAAGATGCAACCTCACAGTTAGAGAGAAAGACAGGCTGGCTCCATCAAAAGGTTTGCAATTTCATTTGAATGTTAATTTATACAGCTTTAAATTTGCTAAAGTTTCTGCCATTAACTTGAAAAGCATTCATCCTCCATATTCTTTTTTTAGGTAAAAATGGAATAATGAAATAGTGTAGCATGCTTTTTTACTTTGGTCTTGGTTTCTATTTAATACGGATCTGGAAATGGACAGTTCAGAAATTGGAAATTTCCTTTAATCGACTGATTGGTGATTGGCAGATCCAGACTAAAACAATGTTATTATTCTTTTTTTATATGGCACCATTTTCAGCATATGAATGCAGAAACTACCAGGATGTACCTTGAAGCATTTGTTGAGCTTATTCAAAGTCATATTTAGAGACATATGAACAGGCTCTGTGTAGTTGCCCAGAGCAAATCAGTCCATCATCGACATGATTTCGTGACATCACTGCACACTGAAGTGTATAAAAAACACAGTGGACACTTTGACTTCAGTCAGGGGTAGTTTCTCTTTTCTCATTAGATGTGTTCCTATCAACCTGTGATGGATGCCCAGGTTGAAAGGGCATCCATCACACACCATCAGTGGCAGACTATTTAAAACTTTGAGCATCTTTTCTTTTAATCATGTGTTCTCCACCTTGTTCTTGCTGTTGTAGGATTGATTATGTCTGAAACTTCTCGGAAAACAAATATTACTGAAGAACATCTTGCTTCCATTTTTTTCATACTGACATACAAAGATTAACATAACAGATCAAATCCTTCAACCTCCCAAATCGGCACATCATAAAGCACTGACAAAGTCAAAACAACACAAGTACATCACAAAGTGAATACAAGACCTTAAACCGTGGCAGGTCTGTCATTAACAATTCTTCATTGATGGGATTTTAATACAGGATTCCATATTTTCTCAAACACACTGACTTTATCTTCATTGTAATATCTCAGTCTTTCCAGATCCATTTTTTTAGCCTTTTTTTTTTTAGAACTGATCTGGAGTTTAACTAAATTTCTTCATTTTCCTATGCTTCAATCGTCACGAAGCTAAAGGGTGATGATTTCCCACACAAAGTGAAACAAGATTATTTTCATGATTGGTGAATTATTACATCAGTTAAAGGCGGAAGAGAAATGAGAATGAATGTAGTGAAAACTCTGTAAGTTAGCCCCTTCCACTATTCTAACAAAAACTTCAGGTTTAAAGAATAACAGGAAGTTTGGTTTTCCATGACAAGACAGTCTTTTCATCTCTGAACATGTTCTCATCCCAAGATGACCGCTTCCCACAGCTAATGGGATTTCAACAACTAAAAAGCACTGAAAATACCTGATCAATATTGAATTGAATTATATATTTTACTCTATTCTCCATCTATTTATCATCCATGCGACAAGGAGTTGACGGAGAAGCAAAACATCCCAGTAGTCAATGTCAAGACATGCTTGCAATCTTTTATAATATGTGATTACATTGTCCCATTCAAGATGTTAAAGTCGATAGTTCCCAACATTTCAATCAGTGTTTGTTCTGTGAGACATTTTGGCTTGCAGGTTAGAAAATTGATATGGAAGTCACAGTCAAGCATCATGGGTTATAAGTAGTTAGGCACGTGACAAAATAAATGTTTTCTGTCAAGACTATTGTGTGCAAATTCATGATGGTTATCGGCCTCATCTTCATTTCATCAGAATACATTTCAAAATACACAAAGAGTGGTAGTAGTAGTATCCGTTCAGTTCAGTTCCTTTATAGTCCTCAAAGGGGGAAATCTGTTTTGCAGCCAGGCATTTTCAAACATACAGAACAACATAAATGTGGATTGACAAAGTTAAAAAACAGACAAAGCATACAAGCACAAATTCAGAAATGTATAAAAAGTGAATTATAACTCACAGATTTAGGGATCTGATTGCTGTGGGTACAAAAAAGTTTTACTGTTGCTTTTAAGAGAAGACTAACTACTATCATTATAAAGGTTTGAAGGGCGTCCCACCCTTTGCAGGTCTTTAGCCACAATGCTAATGAAATGGGAATACCAATCCTGTCTACTTCTGAAAATCAGCTATTGCCATGATGATAATTATGCGTTATTGGAAGATTGGAGGATTAATACCTGAACACCAATTACAAAGTCTTAAAATATGCAAACATTTTAAAAAGGCTTAAATAAATAAGCACTGCCTAGCCTGGTGGCCCGCCAGGCTTATAATACACTGGGGGACACCTTGCGACATATCAAATCTCAATCCTCATTGCAGTATCAGTGTAGGCAATATTGCAATTGGAAAGGGGTGTTTATGTATAAAGTGTCAGATAATCACATAACACATCGCCATGATATTTCCTTCCAGCTTGACATATTCTTAACCTCCTTAATTTTTCCTTTAGCGGCTAAGCTGTTGCAGCTAAAACTTCAGGTTTTATCATCGACATGCAGCAGGAAAATTCAGGCAAAGTAGTTGCAGCTAAATATTTTCCTCCTTTCATGCAGTCTAAAATATTAATCTTATTAATATTAATGCCACGGAAACCGCTATCACTTCATCCCAAATATTAATGAAGTGGTTTGTCCTTAAAGGGAAATATTTTCAAAAGATATAAATAAATAGCATTACCCAATGTTAGAATCGGCAGGTTTAGACTCAACTGGTGCAACTTCAACATTATTGCTGTGATAAATTAAAGAAATAGCATAAAATCTGACGACAACGAATAAATGAAAATAATGAGAGTCTGACGGCATGAAACAAGCAGAGACCTGGCAGGTGTCAGTCCTGATGTCTGTCAGGACAGGAAAAGAGTCGCGCTGCTGACAGCCGCCAGGAAAAGAGTCGCGCTGCTGACAGCCGCCATGCACCACTCCCCGTTAAAGACCCCGGCTTGGGCAAAACTAACTCCAGCCCGGCCCATTTAGTCAACAGAGTTTGGTGCTAGCTCTTTACCTTCCCCGGTGTACTCGAACCGAGCCCCCTCAGTGTTTTACTGACTGAACCTCCTGACAGCAGCAGCAGCGGCGGCTAACGTCGCAGTGGGGTCAAAACTCGACTGTTTGAAAACTTCTCGCATCCCCGGAGATTGGAAACCCCACAGAGAGAGCGGTGAACGTTCAGCCCGCGGAGCCGCTCGGAAACACACGGCTCACCCTCAGCCGCCGCGTCCGGACCGCTGCTGAGGGTGAGCCGTGAGACAAAAAACAAACAAACAACAAAACTGGCCAGACCTTTACGACTGAGACACTTTCAATGAGGGAGAAAAGGAAAGCCCGGGCTAACTTTTTTCCTTACCTCGCCTCGCGCCTCCTCGTCGCCGCCAACTCCCACTACTCGGTCATGATAAATCCGGGTCCTGACGAGCCTTTCTCTCGACTGAACGCAGAAAAACGCCCCTAAAAAAAAAAAAAAAACAACCCCGGGAGTGAGTCGCTGAACTCCAAACCGGAGCCTGTGGCTTTCTCTCTGCGTGGCTCCTGCAACAGCCGCAGCAGTTTCTGTTTTTTTTTTCTTCCACCGAGGTGAATCGGGAGCGCGCGCAGCGGAGAGATTGGGGCCGGCCAGAAGGAGGCGTGCACGCGCAGTTTCAAAGCGACGCCGAACCGAACCGAACTGGCTTCAAACTCCAAACAGTGTTGAGACGAGCCTCGCACTGTGCGCAGCGTGAGCATTCCTTTTGCTTTCACTCAGTCACTTTTATTAACAAACGTTTGGCCTGTTTATTTTTGTTATGGTCAACAATGCCGTTCGCCCGGGGCTCCAGCTGGGCGTACTGGGATGACAGGTTAAAACAGGACACATAAAAGCTGAATTCACCCTACACGACATTGGCGATCCACTCTGGCAATTTTTGAGAAACACCTGCATTGAACTCCCAGTTGTTTGTGCAATTCGCCGATTCTGTGTGAATTTCGGGGATAATTCTCAAGAAACTGGAGGAAAATGATCGATGGCAGTAAACAGATTAAAGCGATTTGATGGATAACATAATATTTAAGCACACGCAGAGTTGAGTCTAGAATCTAAAGGGACACATAAAAAGCTATGGCGGGACAGATTTGGGTTTGACATGTGTGTCCTAAAATACTACTGTGAGGAAATGCCAAATGAATAAATACCCGCCCCCCCAAAAAAAAATCCTACTAACACAGCTAAACATTTTTAAAAGTGGTCCAATTCACTATAAACAATGGGTGTGAAGTAAGAAAAAATGAAAGTGAATGAAAAATATCTTTTTCTCTAATATTTTGTAATTTAACATATTTACTTATTATGAACAGGGTGTGTGTCACATTATATCTGCAAAAAAAAAAAAGGTTTTCAATGATTTAGAAATATAGAATTTTACAACACAAAGTACCTCCCATCTTAACAGGTGTCCTCCTGGGAGCCACTGTGTTTATTATGTATAACAGAAACAAGTAGGGGCCTAAGGTCACAGCCTGGGGAACCCCAGGGTGAACATATAGAGAGCAGTTCAAGCATTAGTAGCGTAAATCTTAAGTCAATCTGACTCAGCTCGTTCAGAATTAGAGCAACGACAGTCAGCAATGCCCTCGGACGAGGAAGCATTGCAGTTGCTTTTCTGTTTTGGGATATCACTCTGTAACTCGTCGTGGCATTTACACAGCCCCCCCTCGTCCATTTCCTACGGTTGCATTTGTTCACAGGAAGTTAGGGAGGCTCACTTCAAAGCAGAAAGTTTTATGTCAGTCGGTCTAATTTATTCAAATCCTTGTTTGTTTGGCGGAGGAAACACAGCGGATCAGCAGGGAGTAAACATATGCACAGCACAAAGCCACAGCGAGTGTGTCTGCGACGCTTATTAAAAAGCGCCGAGTGCAGCGCGACTGACATAATGCATTCGGTGAGGGATAAATGACCGCTGGAAAAAGGAAATCACTTCCTTCAGCTGGCCTCGGGGTTCTGTGGGAAAACGCCGTGATCTGAATTCATCAGGAATAAAAACGATTCTTTTCATTCAGTTTGCTGTTGCGTATTACAAGTAGATTAAGCGCCACCCTTTAAAATGTGATCGCTTGTCAAAAAGTCGACAGCAGTTTGCGGTGAGGTCTGCGACCTTTGACGATGGAGATTTCCCCAAAGAGCGAGAGTCTGTCGTGCGGGATGGCTTCTCAAGCCGCCGCCCTCCAAGAAAGACGGGATCCTGTGTGAGAGGAACCTGAAGGCTTCACAACCTGAGATGAGGAGGATGAGGAGGAGGAGCTGAGCCAGACGTCGACACGTGGGAATGAGTCAAGCGTTTTTCTTTTTCCCCTACATTCCTGGCATTGTTATCCCCCTCCTCGCTGCCGAGCACCGAAGCCAAGGATTTTCCAAGAGTGGAGGAGTGAAAATAATGAAGCAAGATGACTATTGTTTCCTTTTATTCGCCAGGCAAAGATCATTTCAGTCATTCTGCAGCTGAAAACATACAAACAGATGGCTGTGCTTAACATGAAACCACCTTGCAAAAGGGTTCTTACCCCTTTTAACTTGTTCGTAGTTTGACATGTTACAGCCATGTAAAATCTGTGTGTTATACAGATTGTTTTATTGTAGACCTACACAAAATAGTGCGTAGTTGTTAAGTGGACCAGAAGTGATACTAAAAATCCACATTGCTAGTTCTAGACTTCAAATCGAGGCTAAAAACCCAATTTTTTTAGTTGCCTTTGATTAATAAACCGGAACACTAATCAAGATATTTGATGTGTATTTGCTCAATGATTTAGGTTTCGTTTGACGGTCAACTGCTTGTTTCATAATTGGTCATGGTTATGGTTTTGTGACCTAAAAGCACTTTGAACTGCCCTGTTGCTGTACAAATAAACTTGATTGGACTAGACCCCGACAAGAAAACTAAACAAAACAGTGCGACCAGATGCTCTCCAGAAGCTTGATCCAAGAGAAGCAACCTCTGGTGGCGGCGGCAGCGTCACGCAACAAGATGCTTGGTCAAGGCGAGACAGCTGGCTGGTCAGAGTCAATGGGAATGTTTGAAGCTGCTGAAAACCTTTGCAAAAAAACAACATTGTAGACATACCAAAATGAAAAAGGCAGCTGTGCAGTAATTACACATAGTGTTGACTTTGGGGTGAGGGCACTAAATGTAAACACGTCCTTTGTTTCTGTTTTCATGATTACGTGCTAATTTGTGCCGGTCAATCACATAACATCCCAACGAAACACGTTGTAATGTGAGAAACAGCTGCAAAAAGTTGCTAGTATTTTCACCCAAATTTATACTCAGGACCAGACCAACTCCTGTGCAAATTTGAAACGCTCATTCGCGTCCGTTATCCGTTGCGAATGGTAAAGGATTCCCTCAAATGTGCGCAGTGGATTAGACCCCGACTCCTTGACAAAAGGTGGCTCGGTTTGACCACAGCGGGAAGAGAAACCATTCAGGACACTGATACCTCTGCCTGCCTGTTCAGCACATGACGCACTGACTCATCCTCTCTCCTCTGAGTCACTCCCTCCTTCCCTCCCTCCCTCCGCTGGTCCAGGATCTGTGTGGCTCTCTGCTGGAGCTGGCTCCTCTGTCCTCACGTCAACCCCGCTGCACTCCACGGGCCAGGACGGGGCCGCCAACAACCCGGACGAGCCCCCGGTGGAGGAGCTCCAGAAGGTGTTTGTGTTCCTCTGAGTGTCTCTTTGTTCAGACAAAAGACTGAAGGGGATGGTGTTTATTTCAGAGGCCAGGAAAAAAAAAAGAGGGAGAAAGGGGGCGGCACATCACCATAAAGAATGTGCAATTATGGACTTCACAACAATGAGGCGACACAGAGAGAAAAGTTCTATTAGAGAAGTTCTCTTGTATTGTAAATGTTGAAGACATATATGGTCAAAGATGACAGAGTTTTTGAGATATTAAGACAATGATGCCAAGTGCTGAGTTGTTTTTCTTGTTATGCATGCTGTTCATTTGTTTCCTATTCTTTTCTTATTTTTAGTTGTTTACTTTAGGGATTAGGTTGTGGAATGTAAATCCTACGTCAAATGTATCACTATCATTTAGGGGTTTTTTTTCTCTCATATAAAAAAGAAATCTGCAAATGTATCGTTAAGAAAAGTACTCTCCATTTTTGTTCTCCAAATCCAAATGGTTTTTCATGCTGCAGTCAGCATGAAATAAGCCGCCTGGCGGTAAATACAAAAAGGATTGAGATGGTCTTTTTGTGATTTTCCACACATAATATAGATTTTCCCTTCTTCTTTGAGTCATCTCGTTCGCTTAGGTCAGAGGTTAGCGATCTTGAGGGCTCAAGCAGCCACTTTTGTCTTGATCCTTCAGAAGTAATGTGAACTTATGTGACCTATTTTGTTTACGTCTCATTTCGTGAGGTCTTCTGCCACCCCCTGGCACGCAGCACTCTGAGCTGCGAACCGTATGGCCTGCGTTAAAACCTGACGCAGCGACAAGGCAGAAAAGCTGTTTCTCTTCTCCAGCTGCTCACTGAAAATACATTTTCCTCATCGTCACCTGGAAAAGAGAGGATAACTAACCCACGAAGCAGAAGGCCTGGAACATCAGCATTCATTATGTTTTTTTTGTTGTTTTTTTTTCCCATTGGTGTTTTCACAGCTTTTGGGCAACATCAAAGCAACGACAAATAATAATAATAATGATAATAAAAGCGCTCCAGTTAAGCTCATTATACAAATGAGCTCTGAGACCCTCTGCACACAGCGAGCCTGGCGACACCATAAACCAAAAGGTAAACAACTTTAACGGGCCGAGGTAGAGTCCCAGGGGGACGCTCTTCACTTCCCAAATTGTTCATCCAGCATGCACTTTGTTTTTGGGATTTTTTTTTTTTTTCAGCCATTGCTCCAGGGATGACATTAAGCAGGCATGAACTTTGCAAAAGATCTTCCCCGGCTCTAAAAAGATTGGCCGTGGTTGGATCGGGCTGCATATCTCATCAGGGATCTCATAAAAGGAGCTGGATGACATTCCCAGGAAGAGGAACTTCACTTTTGAGCAAGCGATAAAATATGGATGAAGTCGGGTGTTTATGTTCTCGGGACAAACTTCATTTGCTTTGGTGGCTGTTGATGTTTGTTTCCCCTCTCTCTTCTTCTGGGAGACCCAGGTTGGCGCTTTCATTTCTCAGAAACATTTGAAATCGGCCGGCACTCATGTCCGTACCTTTGCTGACGTTTGCCTCTCCTCCAGCCTCAGCAGATTAATGCTTATGCAAGGTCACAGTAACTCATTCTTGTTGTTGCATAAGGTTTTGTAACCATATTTTGGCGTGGCTTAAATAGATACAATTCCTTACATTTGGTCACAAAAAATCTGTTATTATCTTACCTGGTTTATCTTTTGCTGTAGTAACAACTGGAGATTTTTATATTTTTTTGCCCATTTTTCTTCTAAAACAGCTCAAGTCAAGCCAGATTGGATGGAGAGTGTCTGTGAGATTAAATTTTTAGGTCTTGCTATGTTACCTCTAATTAGTTTAGGTCTGGACTTTGACTGGACCACTTTA